TTCTCAAATACTCTCTCTATCTCCAATCTTAATATGGTAAATAGAAATCACCTGAGCAAAGGCAGAGTCTCAGCTGTAAAGGAGGATGAGCAGGAGAGTGTGTCTAACGGCATGTGAAACTCTCTAATCCTACTTTTTACCCAAATTTGGTAAATAGGAAAACCAACTAACATCTCGTACACCTGGGGGGAGTATACTTTTAAAGGTCAGATCATACTTCCATATCATTAGAGATCAGGCCGGGTAGGTGGGGCTCGTCAGCCCTGGAAGGCAGCCCATCTAGGAGAAGGACCACTCCGAATTTAAACCTCCACTGCCTTGTGGCTATATCCACTTATGGAAAGGGCTTCAGGAGATAACCTCGAGGCAAAATCCGGAGCCGGAGTCCCGGAGGCATTTTCTTTCATTCTGCCAACTCCTGCGACGTTGCTGGAACCAGTTGTATTGGCTCTTGCCTTTCCACTGGACCATTTCAGCGATGTGGAGAGGGGGGATTTGCTGCTTGGGTAACAGCCTATCCTCCATACTATTTTACCCAGGCTTCGTGCTCTGGAGAGGACACTCCAGCTTCGCATACAGCGTCGAAACAACACGGGAAGTAGCAGTTACCGGTTATAAGTCTCTGCTCAATTGGCGTAGAGCAGGACGCCAGGGGCTACTTCTGACGGTGGGAGAGGTCATTGCACCTCACTAGGTAGATACCGCCCGCCTTAAGCTGGGCAGCCCCCAGCCAGTAAGGTGCTACCTCGCCACGGTCTGTTAACCTCACGGGGTGCGTGGGGTTTAGGGTGAAACCCGACAAGCAGATCGACAACCGTGCACCATGCAACAATCATAAGAAAACTTCTGCCCTAAAGCTGGGCACCTGGAATGTACGGACAATGACCCCTGGCTTTCCTGACTACGGCTTTCCTAACGACCTGCAAGAAATAGACGATGTGCGCAAGACAGCTGTCATTGACATGGAACTGAGTAGACTGCAGATGGACATTGTTGCCCTGCAAGAGACAAGACTGCCAGACTCGGGATCTGTCAAAGAAAAAAACTTCTCATTCTTCTGGCAGGGAAAACCATCGAATGAGACCAGGGAATATGGTGTTGGCTTTGCAGTCAGAAACACTCTCCTGAGATGCATTGTTCCACCCACTGTGGGGAGTGAAAGAATCCTGTCTCTGCAGCTCCACTCATCAGCAGGACCAGTAACCCTCATTAGTGCATATGCACCAACACTGTCATCCACTCCAGAAGTGAAAGACAAATTCTACGACGATCTGGCAGCTACTATCAAAAAAGTCCCTGAAAGAGAGTCACTGTTCATTCTTGGAGACTTTAATGCTAGAGTTGGTGCTGATCACAATTCTTGGCCCACTTGTCTAGGCCGTTTTGGCATTGGAAAGATGAACGAAAATGGCCAACGCTTACTGGAGTTTTGCTGTTACTATGGTCTCTGTGTCAGCAACACATTCTTTAATACGAAGCTGCAACACAGAGTTTCCTGGAGACATCCAAGATCCAAGCATTGGCATCAGCTCGATTTGATCCTCACTAGACGTTCTAGCCTTCCTAGTGTTACGATCACACGCAGCTACCAGAGTGCTGATTGCGATACTGATCACTCCCTGGTGTGTAGTAGAGTAAAACTGCGAACAAAGAAATTGTATCACATGAAAAAGGAAGGAAGACCACGTATTGACATCAACAAGACTCGCGATCAAAGAAAAGTGAAGGAATTTGCCCAAGCACTCGAGGAAACCCTTCCAGGTCCAGCTAATGTAAATGCACCTGAACGATGGGAACACTTCAAGAACACTGTCTACAACACCGCCTTGTCCACCTTCGGCAAGAAGACCAGAAAGATGGCTGACTGGTTCGAAGCCCATTCGGAGGAGTTAATGCCAGCCATTGAGGATAAGAGAAGAGCTCTAGCAGCATACAAAGCCTGTCCTAGCGAGTACAACCTGCAAGCTCTTCGAGCCGCTCGTAGCCAAGTCCAACAGGCTGCCAGGAGATGCTCCAATGACTATTGGCTTCAGCTTTGCTCTCAGATACAGATAGCAGCGGACACAGGTAACATCAAAGGAATGTATGATGGTATCAAGCAGGCCTTAGGTCCATTACAGAAGAAATCTGCTCCCTTGAAGTCTACTACAGGTGTGATCATCCAGGACCGAGCACAGCAGATGGAACGCTGGGTGCAGCACTACTCCGAGCTATATTCCAGAAAGAATGTAGTAACCGAAGAAGCATTAAATAACATTGAGTGCCTGCCTGTCTTGGAAGAGCTGGACAGCGAACCAACCCTAGCAGAAATAAATGCGGCCTTGGATTCCCTCACCTCTGGCAAGGCACCTGGAAGGGACAACATCCCTGTTGAAGTGCTGAAATGCGGTAAGGAGATCATCATCACCGAACTGTATGAAATCTTTTGTCTCTGCTGGAGGGAAGGTGGAGTACCACAGGACATGAAGGATGCAAACATTGTCACGTTGTACAAGAACAAAGGTGACAGGGGTGACTGCAATAACTACCGTGGTATCTCTCTTCTTAGCGTTGTAGGGAAGCTGCTTGCCCGTGTTGTGCTGAAGAGGCTCCAGGTGCTTGCAGACAGAGTCTATCCGGAATCACAGTGTGGATTTCGAGCAAATAGATCCACCACTGACATGGTATTCTCCCTCCGACAGTTGCAGGAGAAATGCAGGGAACAACAACAGCCACTCTTAGTGGCCTTCATAGACCTTACAAAAGCATTTGACTTGGTTAGCAGGGATGGCCTTTTCAAAATACTTCCCAAGATTGGATGTCCACCTCGTCTCCTTAACATCATCAGGTCCTTCCACGATGGAATGAAAGGCACTGTAGTTTTTGACGGCTCAACATCAGATCCCTTTGACATCCGAAGCGGAGTGAAACAGGGCTGTGTCCTCGCACCAACACTTTTTGGGATCTTTTTTGCTGTCATGCTGAAGCATGCCTTTGGAACTGCAACAGAAGGTGTCTATCTCCGGACTAGATCAGATGGAAAGCTCTTTAATCTCTCTAGATTGAGAGCAAAGACCAAAGTCCAGCTGAAATGCATGAGGGACTTCCTCTTTGCAGACGATGCAGCCATTGTTGCCCACTCTGCTGAAGACCTCCAACAACTCATGAATCGTTTCAGCAAGGCCTGCCAAGACTTTGGACTAACAATCAGCCTGAAGAAAACACAAGTCATGGGCCAGGGTGTGGACTCACCTCCCTCTATTACCATCTCCACACAAGAATTGGAGGTTGTTCATGACTTTGTGTACCTTGGCTCAACCATCTCTGACACCCTCTCTCTAGATGTCGAGCTGGATAAACGCATTGGGAAAGCAGCCACCATGTTCTCTAGACTCACAAAGAGAGTATGGCTCAATAAGAAACTGACAACACATACCAAGATCCAGGTCTATAGAGCCTGTGTCCTGAGCACACTCCTGTACTGCAGCGAGTCCTGGACCCTTTGTGCCCGGCAGGAGAGGAAGCTGAACACCTTCCATATGCGTTGCCTACGACGGATTTTTGGTATCACCTGGCAGGACAGAGTTCCAAATAGAGTAGTCCTAGAACGAGCTGGAATTTTCAGCATGCATACATTACTGAAACAGCGACGTCTACGCTGGCTTGGGCACGTTGTGAGAATGGCTGATGGTCGGATTCCAAAGGATCTCCTATATGGAGAATTAGTGCAGGGAAATCGCCCCAGAGGGAGACCACAGCTGCGATACAAGGATATCTGCAAGCGGGATCTGAAGGCCTTAGGTATAGACCTCAACAGATGGGAAACTCTGACATCTGATCGTTCAGCCTGGAGGCAGGCAGTACATCACGGCCTCTCCCAATTTGAAGAGACCCTTGTCCAGCAGGCTGAGGCAAAGAGGAAGTCACAAAGGAAGCAAAACCAGGGAGCTGGACAGGGGACAGATTGGATTTGTCTCCAGTGTGGAAGGGATTGTCACTCTCGAATTGGCCTCCTCAGCCACACTAGACGCTGTTCCAAGTCCTCCATACAGAGCACGATACCATAGTCTTTCGAGACTGAAGGATGCCTACTACTAATAACATCTAAATAGGGCAATTATTAGGTCCTGTAATAGGGTTGCTAGGGGAGACATAGGAGACTGGCCATTTTGGTGTGGGCTGGATTGGGTAAGAAAGGGTCAGTTGAGGTTGGAAGATGGAGTGCTATGCCATTTGGTTCACTCCTCCTGTCCAAATAACAAATGACCATTGGTAGCCCAATCCAATATCAATAAAGCCCTTCCCATGATTGTATGCAGAGGGTCAGAGGAAGTGAAACTATTTTTAAAATGTCTGCTAGATCATCGCTGATGCAATAAATTACTTCGTTTAAATTTTTAAAAATTATTTGCCTTTCTCTGTATTGCCAGTCAAGAAATCACCCACAGCCATGATTTCAATCAGCAAATATTTTTTAAAAAATTTAAATTAAGTTATTCATCACCTCAGCAAGGATCTAGCAGATGTAAAATCTAGCAGATGATCAGGGGAAGGGTTAAAGTTCCAATATCCTGAAAAACTTTGTAAGCTGCTTCAGAATACTGGAAACTGACACTGAAAGGAGCTCCAAGGTTGTAGTTTAGTCTGTTTGAAGTGACCACTGTTGCTGGGAATGGATTGAACTAGAGCCTTCCAACCCATATCAAAATAATAATAATAAAAAACATAATAAGGGTTCAAAACGATGTGGGTTGGACCAAATTAGTTCACTCCAACAACATCCACATGTGGATTCCAGAAAAACAAGTGGACCAGCCTGACCCGTCAGTGCAACAAACAGTGGAACAAACGCCAGTATGGACTTCCTCTTTGTCTGTCTGCATGAGGAGGGACCTTGAACAGAATTTTACAGGGGTCCAGATGATATTGTATAATTTTAATTATTGTGAGCTGCCTTGGGTCCCCTATGGGCAGAAAGGTAGGTAGGAAGCAAGCAAGCAAGCCAACAAGCAAATAAATAAAGTATTCCATTTGTAATTGTCCCTCTCTCTCAATATTCTTCTTTCTTTCCTTTTTCTTTTCAACCACAAACATTCTATTAAGCTTAAAAAAGTGCAACATCTGTTTTGTATCTTGGATAATAAGTAGGGAGCTTTTTTGGAAAGCTTCCTAAATCCACACATGACTGCCATCTTTTCTTTCCTAGGTGCCTATTTATGAACTGAGGAACGACGGACGTTCTAACCTGCTGGGAGCACTGCTGATTGCTGGACAGTTTGTCATTCCTGAGGTCTGGCAGTCAGGATTCATTTGCTGAATTGTGTAGGGTGGGTGTTGAGCCACGAGTGCTTCTGCAGTGGGTTCTGGCCAATCAGGGGTGTATGTCTGCTCAGCGTATCCTGAGCCACAAACTTAGCAACCCTGTTCATCCATTGGGATGTTCATTGTCTCAACAAACCATTCTCAGTCCCTTTTTTGGGCCGTGGCCCTTTTAGGAGACCTCAGGTTCCAGCTTCCCCTGTCAAACAAGGATGCCACACAAATAGATATCTTTTAGAAATGTCTCGCATTTTTCAGTCTGTGGCCCCTTTCAAATGTGCCAGGACACCACCATCCCCAGGCAACCATATGGCCCCATTGAGAATGGTTGGACCCTCAACCATTCAAAAGTGGGGTCTACTGAGTTCAGTAGAAATTGCTGTTGTGTGAGTTATAGCCTTAATTCTGCCATATATTGGTGGAAGAAACAGTAGATTACACCACCTTACTGGCAGAAAATAACATTAATTTGAAACAACTACAGCTGAAGTCAAAAGAAGAACATTTAAAACAGGATTGCAGGTGCAGAAGACAGAAATAATGACTACATAAGAATTACATAGCTTTAATGTTGTCCTTTAAGACATTGAAATATCTTGGTTTAGTCCCCACTGAAAATTAAGCCAAAGAGATCTGCTTAATGTATTCACAAAGGCTTTCGCCGCTGGGATCTAATGGTTGTTGTGAGTTTTTCGGGCTCTTTGGCTGTGTTCTGAAGGTTGTTCTTCCTAATGTTTGGCCAGTGTCTGTGGCCGGTATCTTCAGAGGACAGCACTCGGTGCTCTGGTGTAGTTTGCTTGGGAGTGTAGTATTTATGGCTGTGAGATAGGCTTTTGCCCTAATCAGGAGATGGGTGATTAGTGTGTCTTGTTGTGGGTGTATTGTTACGATAAGGAGAAGAGATTGTGTCATTGTGATTAATGGGTGTCATTAGCTGGTCTTTTGTGTGTAGTGATCCCCGGTCCTCGTGGCACAGGGAAGCCATTGAAACCCACAAGCACCAGCAGAACTTCAACAGAAAAGAGGAAAGTTTGAAACTCAACAAAACTGGGCTTCCAGCTCTGAAAAATGCAGTGTGCAAAAGGTCAACGACCTCTACCCAGCCACAGATAATCTGAATCTGTGACAGAGAATCTCTTATGTTACAAATTCATGTTATAAATTCACACCACTATTTACATATAATACAGATATCTCCATGCATCTAAGGAAATGGCCTGTATCTCGCTACAAAAATAATGTGGCTACCCAGTGGAAATGGCTACAATGGAAGGTATCTTGCAGCACTGCCTCTAGTCAAAGACTAGAGCTAAGAAAAGTTACTTTTTTGGACAACAACTTCCAGAATCCCTCAGCTGGCATGGCTGGCTAGGAGAGACGTCTGGCTATTATAGCCATAAGTACTTTTTCTTGGCTATTTGTAATTATTTTAACAGATAATTAAAATTACATATATTTGTGTTTTTGACAATATTTGATTAATTGATTGAAGAAAGTGAGCTGTTTTGTTTTGGGTTGATTGTGTGGCAACTCTTACCAGATGTGGTTTATGGTTCACCTTATAGGTATGCCTCTATTTTCACCATAAATTGTACAGGGGAAATAGAGTGACGAAAGTGGATACAGGAAGCTTTGATGCGTTCTCCTCACCTAATCTGCCCCCCCTTGCAAATGCAGAGGTGGATATAAAAAGTAAGTAACAACAAAGATGCCATCTCTTCCAGCCACTGAATATAATGGCCAATATGGTTATAATTGATTTTTTTAACCTAGTGTGACACCTAGATTTAATCCTCTTTTGTTGATACAAGAGAGGTATCTTGTTCCATGTTTTTCTGCTGTGAGTCTACAAATGAGGTCAGCATGTTTCACCTTGGAATAGATCTTCAGAGAGTCATATGTTGCAATGGATAAAGCTAAAAGGATCCAAGGCAGACTTTTATTTACAGAGGGAGGAAACACTATAAATTGCTACATTTGACAGTCTCATGGTGAATTTGCACATTCCAACTGGCCTTGTTGATCATATGTTTTCAAGAGCCGTAAGCATACATCTGGACCAATATTTAGATTGCCTGTCTTATCCCCAAGTTTCATGCCATCTCTGATTAATGAAGAGTACTGGGAAATTCAAAATCTCACCTTGTTTATAACTTGTTAGTAAACCCATAAAGATATTAACTCAAAGCAGAACATGGCAATGGATGTTGTCACAGCTATAAGGAAGCATTTTACTTCTTGAACTAATTTAGTGTGTAGTGTTGATCTGGGTTGTGGAAATGTCTCTTTTGCCAAACTTGTAATATTTCCTTTTTCTTCGTCTGTGCTGGTTTTCTTTCCCAAAGTCGACTGGGGCATTGTATGGCGGGCCACCACTACGAAGAAGTTTAATGTTCACACTGATATGAACAGGAATGTGGGTTTGCTGAGGCTCTTCCCAGGAATTACGGCTACTACTGTAAGTGCCCTTGAAATAAGATCAAGGCTAGGAACAATAAAACAACCAGCATAGAGTCTGGAAGTGATGAGTTACTAGTAACTTACACATGTTACTTTTAGGGGTAACAGGCATGTTACGGGATTCCATTTCAAAAGTAATATAACCAGTAGGACTGATTCGTAGTTACTTTATTGGCACAAATCTTATTTTCCAGTTTCTTTGAAAAATTCCTTTATTGTAATTTAAATTGTTGTGCTCATAACCAACATGCCACCTTTGAACAATTAATTGCATCTTTTGGATTCAATGGTGAACAGTGTCAACTGTTTATCCATTTATTTTTTTTATACGGATAGATTTTTCTCTCCCCTCCTCCCTCCCCCAATATTATCTTCATAGACCCTGGAATCTTTGTCCTTGCCTGTTATTTCCACACTGAGCCTCATGCTTCCCTAAGACCAGGCTTTCTGAAGGATTTAAATCTTAATCTCGGTTAAAGAACTCATTGAGAACAGCTATAGTTCAGTGTCTTAGGTATCTGGCTTTGCAGCCAGAGTCTGGGATTTTAATTTCCCACTGTGCCTTCTGGGAGTAGAGCCAACCTGTGTGGCTTTGGGCAAGCTGCACAGTCCCGGGGTGCCCCCCCCACTTCAGAAGAAAGGAATGGTAAACCACTGCTTATTCTCTATCTGGAAAATCCTGAAAAGGATCTCTGTAATTGACTTGTTGGCATTGATGATGATTATATTAAGCATATAAAATGATGGATAAGGGACCTTTATGACTGATGATTCCTCTTCTAAGTTTCAAAATCATGGTGCCATGATTTAATGTAAATATCACACCATGGATTCTTTATATCATCCTCTCAACAGGTAAGGGCGTTTCTCCAGCATCCAATGGAAGGGATAGTACTAGAGACCTATGGATGTGGCAACGCTCCAAACAACCGCCCTGATTTGCTGGAAGAGTTGAGGCAAGCAACAGAACGGAACGTGGTGATCCTAAACTGCACCCAATGTTTACGAGGGTCGGTGGCTCCCACCTATGCAACTGGACAGGTGATGGAATTGATGAATTGAACACACAGACACTTCTAATCATAACCCTTCAGCCTCAGCTTGTTTTCTGTATTAATAATCTGAGACAGAAAATTATAATAACAGTTGCATATATGCCTGTTTCTATAGATATAGCAAAAAAGCAAGTCACAATATAGCAACATGAAGTTTAAATAAATTCCACACCCAAATGAACAGTAAGGAACACCATATAACGAGAACCTGTATATTGATCCATAATCAGTTGCTTATCTGTTGTACAATGCTCTAGTGCAGTGGTTCCCAACCTTGGGTCCCCAGATGTTCATGGACTACCTCTTCCAGAAATCCTGGCCAGCACAGCTTGAAGGGGAATACTTCTGGAAATTTTAGTCTAAGAACATCTGGGGACCCAAGGTTTAGAACCACTGCTCTAGAGTATTACATGTGAGGTATTTTTGCATCATAGATCAGAGCAAATGGAACTTTCAAAAGCAATCTTTGATACGAAACCATCTTGAACATTGAAACTTAGATCTGTGGAACTCCATGCCACAAGGATATTTTCCAGCTGTAAGATCTCTAATTGCTGCCACCAAAAATTGGTCCTTTGATCCCTTTTAGAAACCTGCTAACCCGGTTCTGATGTCACAGACAAACAAGAGATGGCGGGGGGAGGAAATCATTCTTAATTCATGCAGCTCCAAATTATCGTTTAAAGTATGACAGTGCATTCCCTTTGGTAAATAATTTCCTAAATAAATAGGTCAATTTTGTTTATCCTGTCTCTAGTGGCAATGTCCATTCCATGCCTACACCATGGAAACCAGAATGTCTTTGTAAATAGGATAAAGAGCTCATTTTTTGGCAGTGATTGCAAATGTTATTATTGAGATGGCTTTGTGGCAGGTTGTTTTCTAGTCCCACATCTCAAGGTTTTACAAATGGAAAAGGTGGGTAAAAAGCCATTGGTCTTCCACATTTTGTGACACAAATGCTGGGGTATACTCTGTCTGAGTTTTGTCCCAATCCTTTTGCAGCCAGTTTAGATTAATGGCATCCAGTATTTTACCATGCAGATTTGTTACCTGCAGGACCTCACTCATGTTGGAGTAATTTCAGGAGGAGACATGACACCAGAAGCAGCCTTAGCAAAACTCTCCTATGTGCTGGGCAAAAGGCATTTTACCTGGAAAGAAAAGAAGCAGGTAAAGCATGCCTTGTGAGTTCAGATTACAGCTCTTTTCCTTTTACAGACAAGCTGCTGTGTATCAAGTTATTTACTCCCCTTTGATGTCCTAGAAGCACACTGTGTCCATTATCTCCAGCCAGTAGGAAGGATCGGTATTTATTGTCCAGTGCATCTGGGAGGAACCATGTCAGGGATAGGCTAGTCTGAGGATTAGATAAGTCAGAATAGAACAGGGTGGAATGTAGACTTCTTAATCAAAAAGAATGCCAGAAATAGTAGGATGTAATAGACAAATATCACAACACTACAGTACTACTTTTTCATTAAACCTTCACGGCCCCAACCCCTGCTGGAAATGAACACAGTGGCCCAGAATGGCAACTTTGAATACGATACTCAAAACAAACCCATGGCACTTGAGTGACTAGATGAGACAAATGCAGCAAGCCACAAATCATCCTCAGGAACAGCATTCCGGTACCTGTTCTGCATAGAAAAATATATTGTGAAAAGCCCTGGAACAATAACTTTTTCGTAGGACAGTCCAATTATTTTTTTTAAAAAAATTCAACCTTCCCATCTAAGTACATCTAAGTACACATAGCGACGATAATCCGTGCAGTAAAAATCATCGCTATGCGGATTTGTCGCTATGCAAAAAAAGCCCACAGGAATGCATTAAAACCTATTTAATGCGTTCCTATCGGCAAAAAACTCACCTTTAAGCGAAAATCCTCCATATGGCCGCCCTTTTTGCTGCCCGGTAAGCGAGGAATCAGCGCAAAAACACAGCGGGCGGCCATTTTTATTACCCGGCGGCCATTTTGGAACCGCCAATCAGCTGTTGGGAAATCATCGTTATGCGAAAATCGGTAAGCGAAACAGCTTACCGATCATCGCAAAGTGATATTTTCCCATTAAAAACATTGCAATGCGATCGCAAAATGATCGCAAAAACTTAATCGCTATGTGGATTTGTCGTTAAACGGGGCGCCCGTTAAGCGAGGCACCACTGTAGATGGGACCAATGCAAGCAGCCCCCAATCTCTCGCAGGAACAACAATCCAGTACCTGTTCTGGACAGAAAAATCAATATTGCAAAAACACCAGCTGGTGACTTCTGAGTAGGAAAGCTCAAACAAATTCACCTGCCTCATTTGACTAGAGGAAACTGATGTAACCAGCCCAAAACACCCACAGGAGCAATATTTCAGTATCTACCCCACTTAATGGGAGTGGACTTGTGCAGCAAGTCAAAAAACAGATCCAGGGGCCACATTCCAGTACCTGTTTCCATCAGAAAATCTGTGTTGCTCAAAATAGCCCAGAACATGTGTCCCAGCAGGCTAGAGGGGAATGATGTAGAAATGAACAAAATATCATCAGGAAGCATGCTCCAGGACCCGTTACAGGCAGGAAACCAACATTATGCAAGACAGGCCAGAATGGCATGCCAAAATCCACCTGTCCTATTGCAGTAGAGTGAACAGATGCAACCAGCCACAACATAGCTTCAGGAATTGCATTCCAGGGCCTGCTCTGGGTCTACGTTTCACGTTTTTGAAAAGGCCCATGAACAACAGCTTCTGGGCTGGTGACAGCAACCAATTCAGCAGTTCACATTGGGCTGGATGGGAATAATACATTAAACCACTGGCCTTCCACAGGAACCACATTCTACACATAGGTTGTGCCTGTAGGCTTTCTGCCAGCCTTCCCAGGCCCATCATGTGGGCTGAGGCTGGAGAAGAAAAGACCGAGAGGGCATGCACTGCCATTCTGTGGGTTCAAGCACTTTACGATGCATCTCATTTGTCTTCTGCAAAGGGTGATTTTCATTGAACTATCCTATTCAGCAGCTGTTCTGGGCTGATCTTTGCAATATCAATTTCTTTGCCCAGAAGAGGTACTGGAATGTTGTTCCCGGGACATTTGGGGGCTGGTTGTATCCGTCTCCTCTAGATGGATGGGATGGGTGAATTTTACTAGGCTGCCCTACTCTTGATTGTATATTTTTTTCCAGTGAAATTTTCTCAGTTTGACCTTTTTTTTCCCCATCCCCAGATGCTGTGTGATAATCTGAGAGGAGAAATGTCTTCTATGTTCACAGGAACCCACAGTTCTTTAAAGAACAGCACATTTGTTAAAGTGATGACCAAATTTATAAGTCTTAACTGCAAAGAGGTAAATAGATAACACAAATGTATGCAAGTCTAAACCTAAGCTTGGATACTTGGTTGTTCTGTTGCACTATTATAATCACAGTGAAGCTGAGAGCTGTATATTTTCCAGATTTTTATCATTTCTTTATTTTTGGAGCCTCACTCATTTGTATAATTATGCTATAGAAACATAATATCTCAACCTATCTCCACATTTATACACTATTGCATTAATTTAAGAAATGTCTCTTTGTCTGTGTCACACATTATTTATATACCTTGGATCCCTGCTTTGAAAGAAATGAGGGACAGGAATGAATGCATGCATGAATGAATAGCAATCTATAGTAAAAAAAACTTTTTCTTGCTGTACAGGAACTTGGAGCTTTGATTCCATCATTGGCTTGTGCTGCTGCTAAATCTGGTGACTTGGATGCATTGAAAACCATTGAAGAAGTGGTAAATACAAGCAGTTGACGCTCAATGAGAACGATTAATAACATTTAGGCTTGTCTTTCTGTATTGGCTGGGCTGGAAGACTTGAACCACATATTTGGCCTTGGATAGGGCTCAACAGCAACTTCTATCTCTTTTCTTCATACAAAGCTGCAATCATTTAGCCAAAACCAGTCTGCTCCAGCTATCCCCAGCATGGTATCCTTCAAGCAGTTGTGCTTCAACTTTAGTTGTCCCCCAGCTGGCAAAGATGATGGGACTTACAGTTCAGCAGATCTGGGGGATGTGTGATAGATTAGATGAACGCTTGCTGCAATTTGTAGCTGCTCTCAATGGCTCGAAACAGAGATCTTGACCAGTACTATTGAAATGACTTTATCCCTGGAGGTGTGAGCTAAAATGTGAACAGTTATGTCCATCTGACCAGCCAGATAGAGAGGACAACCCAGGGAATAGATGGAAAACCAGAGAAGAATTGTGGAAGGTAGACTCCAATCTTGGAGGAAGACGAAAGTCTGGAAAGTGCTTCTCTGGGTTTGGCTATCTCAGAATATTAAGTTCTGATTCTGTCTGAGTTGAGCCTGTATATTTGTAAATCAAAACTGGATGTAGGCCTCTGGTGGCTTCCAGTTTCTTTTTTCATAAATATTTTTTGGGGTTTTTTTTGGCTGGTCTGTGCCACTCCCACAGAATCCCGAGGGCAGGAAATTGTCCTTGGGATGTAATAACGGTGCCCCCCTGCCCTGAAATGTCTCACTGTTCAAGAATAACAACATTTTAACTCAAGTTGTCCATGTGATATCATCAAAGATATCATCTTAGAAAACATGGAGTTAAGGCCATGTGAATAAACATCACCTTGTTATAACGAGAGTCACAGTGATGAAACTGTAGAGGCATGGGATTCCATCATATCGTAAAGACAAATGCATACGCTATATCTTTTTTCTTTCAGTGTTATCCCTCCAAGTGTGCAAATCTTTCAGAACTACTGATTTAACTTAGTAAGGCATGAAAGAAAGCTGTGATGTCTCTCAATTGACTAGTTGCAAAAGGAAAGCAAACAAATTAGCTGACTGGATATTGTTGGAATAACTAGTGTTTTTTCCCCTTAGAGGAGCCCTGTTTTAGATCAGGAGTTAGTATCTTGTAAATGAGGCCCTAATAAGGAAGTACTGAGAATCACCGTCATTCCTGGTAATATTTAGTTGGCACATCAGATTGCTGTTTTCAGTAGCAATCAGAGCATGTACTTCTCTTTTTCAGGGTGGAAAATTAAGTTGTGAAGATTATGATGGGCGGACCCCACTTCATGTTGCATCATGTGAAGGGCACGTTCAGCTAACTGAATACCTTCTGAAAAGTGGGGCGAGTGTTTATGCTAAAGACAGATACGGTGCCTCTCCACTGATGAATGCCATAGAGTTCAGGTAGGAAAAGAGGGAAAGATAGTCAGTGTTATCCTTTTAAGAGGTGCTTTTAAAAATATCATTTGGGGCCATTTCCTTATTTTTGGCTATTTTGCTATTTGTTGGCTATATTCCACAGACAGAGTTGCACCAGCAGGATTTCAACCATTAAGTCTTTTTGAAAAAATCTAAGTCTTAAAAAAAGCTAGAAAGATAGCATGAACAACTGTCCCTGTCTATTCCATCATCCTTTCTTTGCCTTGTAGTGCAGCAAAGGGGAGGGGGGGTTGGCCATGGAAGCAGCAACCATATTGCCATCTTCCTTGCTCACCTGTGTTCATTTTCTGGATGATGCAGAGGTGATGGTTCACCCCAAGTGTCTCATGTCCCAGGTGGAAGAGTCCTCTCTGGATGAAGAACCAGATTTCGCAGCAGCATCCTCAGGAGGGAGGGCAGCAGGCCCACACCTTCTAGCTGAGGAAGGCTTCTGCAGAGGTATCTGAGGAAAAGCCAGCCAAAAGCCCCAGCAAGGGAAGGCACTTAAAAAGTCAGGCCAGAATGGCTCTGCTTAGAAGATGGACTGTAACTGGTGATCCCTTGGGAGTGAGAACTCACTGATCTCCCACAACTGTGATGGGGCCGTCTATGGGCAGCATTGTGTAAGGATGCTAGCTGGTGTTGCTGAAGACAGCATGGCCACTTCCTTGCATTTTCTTGGCTTCTTGCCTTAACTCCCATGTTTGGTTTCCTGGTATCTTACTTTGAATCGATTAATAGCTGCACATATGACTTCCTTATACCTGATTCACAAGCTGGTGGGACCTGCTGTGTAAAGACCCCAGCTGAGTTCCTTGAAGGCCTTTATTGTCTGCTTCCTGTCTGCCTTGTCTGCCGACTCTCTGTGCTTGACCCTGACATGGGCATCTATCTGGACATTATGTTTTTGGAGGTGACCAGGTGCAACCCTTCTTACATTGAAGAAGACTCACGTGTTTGCATGGGGATAAGTAGACATGGGGATAAGTAGACAAGGAGGTTTCTTTGGCTACCCTTTACCTACTCTGATATAGACCTGCCTTCCTTCAACCAGGAGTTATAGTTTTGGGCTGCTAATGTCACTTCCTTTGTTGTCAGCCATTCTCCTTCTTGATCCTTTCTGAAAGAGGACGGAGGAGACGTCTTGGCTTTATTTCTGAGCGTAGAGGCGGGTAGGCATCTTTCCCTGCATTATGACCTTAGTGTGCTAGAATTAGGATTTCTGTTATCTTTCATACCTCAGTGCAATAATCCTCGGTTGCTCCTACCAGCCTGACTCAGGACTGTCTAAGACCTCGCCTGGCACTTCTTGCCTGGAACTAAGACGCCAGAGATCTGAACACTTCCTGTGAAGACATCCAGACAGACAAAGAAAACTAACGTGATTACTCACCACAGATGGCTGACGACCGGAGGGTGGAGGGCATGTGTCCATCCAAAATTTTAACTTGATTTACAAGCTGCCCCACCTCTCTTCCTTCAGCAACAAGAGTTAGGCAAATAGTTCTGCTTTTGGTTTTCACTTGCTTTCTCTTTCTGGAACACTCTCCCTGCTTGGGCACCTTCTCACTTCGGGTGGTCCAGTGGGAATAACTAGGGACAATGGGGCAAGCTGTCAGGAAGGAGGGCAGAGTAGGAGAGGCGGTGCTTGATCCGTGGAGGAGTAGCAGCCAGTTCTCCCTACTGACTTGCTCTCTCTCCTTCTCAGCTGCCTGGTGGGAAGCACTAGGCTTGTGAGGTTACAGACTTTCCCCAAGAGGGATCTCAGAGGATGATGAGTGACATCCTTTCAGGACAAATCCACTGCGTTGCACTATCTACCTTGAGAGAGATGGTGTGATTAAGCTCGTAGATTCATTCCCTTATATTTTCAGCTTATGTCTATAGCAGGGGTCAGGGAAATTTTTTACCCCCCCCCCCAAATTTATATATGCCGACATTACCGCCTTGATTTGAAAGGAAGGAAATCATACATTATTTGAATCAAAAATATTATTGAATCTACACAGGCTGTGTACCGAACTAGAAGGATATATCATCAGTATCAACGGCTGCCAGGCTATGTACCGAACTAGCAGGATGCACCAAATTTAATAAAGATGTGCACTATTTTTGCTGGAACACATTGCACACAAGCCATGGGGTGGCATAGGGAGTAGTAAGGTGCCAACGTGCCTAGCAAGTTGCATTAAATTTTTGCTAGCTCGCAGAGGATTTAATCATCATCAGTGGCTGCCAGAGTGGTGCTAGCAATGACATGCTTGCTAGAGACAGCTAACACAGAGTTGTGTGTGTGTGGGGTTCCTACCACTTTAATCATTCTGTATGCGGTGTGCAAAAAGGACCAAACCAAGTTAAAGGTCATGTTAAAGGTGCCACAGCCCAATATCAAACGACCAGTGCAGTTTTTTTATCATCATCAATGGAAAACTCAGCAGTAGCCAGAGGATTGGAAAAGATCAGTCTACATCCCAATCCTGAAGAAGGGAAGTGCCAAAGACTGCTCCAGCTACTGTACAGTTGCACTCATTTCACATGTTAGGAAGGTTATGCTCATAATCCTCCAAGGTAGGCTTCAGCAGTATGTGCGTCAAGAACTCCCAGAAGTACAAGCTGGATTTTGAAGGGGCAGAGGAACTAGAGACCAAATTGCTAACGTGCGCTGGATTATGGAGAAAGCCACAGAGTTCCAGAAAAACATCTGCTTCATTGACTACGCAAAAGCCTTTGACTGTGTGGACCACAGCAAACTATGGCAAGTCCTTAAAGAAATGGGAGTGCCTGACCACCTTATCTACCTCCTGAGAAATCTATATGTGGGACAGGAAGCAACAGTTAGAACTGGATATAGAACAGTTGATTAGTTCAAAATTGGGAAAGGAGTACGAAAAGGCTATATATTGTCTCCCTGCTTATTTATATGCAGAATACATGATGCAAAAGGCTGGACTTGAGGAATCCCAAACTGGAATTAAGGTTGCTTGAAGAAATATCAATAACCTCAAATATGCAGATGATACCACTCTGATGGCAGAAAGTGAGGAGGAATTAAAGAACCTCTTAATGAGGGTGAAAGAGGAGAGCGCAAAAATGGTCTGAAGCTCAACATAAAAAAAAACAACAACTAAGATCATGGCCACTGGTCCCATCACGTCCTGGCAAATAGAAGGGGAAGATGTGGAGGCAGTGAGATTTTACTTTCTTGGGCTCCATGATCAGTGTAGATGGGGACAGCAGCCACGAAATTAAAAGACATCTGCTTCTTGAGGAAAGCGATGAAAAATCTATTATGGCTTGTCAGAAGGATAAGTAAACCAAATTAAATGTGGACTTTCACTACAAGCTAAAATAACCAAACAAAGGGTACTGTACTACGGTGGCATCATAAGAAGACAAACTCACTGGAAAAGGCAGCAGTGCAGACTATGTCTACTCAGGGTGGCTTACATCGATTAAAATATCAATATATCATGGATAAAATCACAAAAATACAATTAATCATGCAGGCAACACATTGCCTCCGCAGCAAGCTGGGTACCCATTTTACCAACCTCGGAAGGATAGAAGGCTGAGTCAACCTTGAGCTTACTAACTGTGATTGAACCCCGGATTGTGAGCACAGGTTTGGCTGCAGTACAGCAGTCTAACCACTGTGCCACGAGGCTCCTATACAAGCCATGATGGGGATGTATCTTAAAATGAAGGTATTTCAAAATGCCAGATGCAGGGGAGTGGTACCAGGAGACAGGTGTCTTGTTGTCTTCTGTGCTCCCAGAGGCATCTGGTGGGGACACTGTGAGATACAAGAAGCTGGATGGGCCCTTGACTGATCCAGCAGGATTCTTATGTTCTTATGAAATGCTCCAACCCAACTAAGTCTGACCCAACTAAGCAGTGCTTTTAGGGAGTTCCAAAAAACCTATAAGGTTGAGTGCTTGAGACTCTCACATCAACCCTGCAAGATAGAAATGCCACCATACCCACAAAAATACACACTCCCAGTAGCTGGTCAAGGCAAGACCTGGTTTTAAGTACCGCAGACTCTTTTAGTCAAACATCCAGACGATTGGATTAACTTTTAAAAGCATGTTATTAATGATAGTGGAAAAACAAAAAGGAAAATGTTTCAAAAGGTTTGAAGGTATTTGGAGCAAATTGTCAATTAGAGTCTAAAGCTTAAGCAATACAGAGGAAACACACTAGAAAATAAGAAAGCTATCTAAACTACCAAGTACTCACACATTAGCATAGCATCAGCATGGCCTTGCTGGGGCATAGCATCAGAATGACCCTGCATGGAATAACAGGACAGCAAATGAGCATAGTGTCTACTAAGATATAACTAAGCCAACTAAAGTAACTTCTGAACTTCTTTATATACTTCAGTCATCACCACCTGGACCTTTTGAGATGGTTGGCCAATCAGGCTTTAAGTTCTCTCAAATGTTCAAGAAGACAAGAGCAGTTTGCCCCCCCCCCCAGCTTGACCAGAGGACAAGCCAACGTGGCCTTGAAGTCTTCACCCCAAATATAAACTATGGGTGGTAGTCCCATTCATTTCTGAGCAGAATCTATCCCCACCTTTCTCCCAGCCAACTGTTCCCAGGTATTGAGAAATTTCCAGAGAGGTTCTCCAATTTCTCTGTTTCTTCACAGCAGCTAACTAGGTGAAAAAAATGGTTTCATCACAGGTCTTGGTCTTTGTAAATTTAGTAACAAAATCTGACTTAAATGTCTCCTCCTGCTGTAAGAACATTAACCTGGTCTGTTCTAGATCGTCAGTTTTGTATTTGGACATAGGGACGTTGTCATTTCTGTTATGTTAACGATTCTGCACAGGAGTGGTCTTGGATCACTTTTTTAGTATGTCTGGACAGCTTTAGGGAGATCTTCATTAGCATGTCTACAGATA